AGCGCAGAACTTGGGACATGTTCGTACCCCTTCATGCACTTGATCGTTTCTAGGTGTACCTTCGAGGCGAAAACCCAGGACGTGGTGCACATACCCTGATCCCCTACCTCAATCTTCGCCATGCAGCTGTTTGTGTCCTTCGTCCTATCGCAATAGTGCCCATTGCAAAACATGTTATTGGAGAACGGAGTGGATGAAGCGTGTGCGTTTTTGTGCACGACGGATAAATCGATAATTCCGTCAGCCCCTTCCTCGTAAGTTGAGAGTTTACATTTCTGCTCATCTTCCACGTCGTTACTATCGCCAAAGTAGATATCGTTATCACCATTTTGCAAATGAGGGAACACTAATCCCATCTTGTTCACGACCCAGTCGTTTACATTTTTGAGGCAGAGAGCTGGGTTTTGTAGCTTCCATTCCAGGGTTGACTTTTTCTCCTCCCCGTGTTTTTGTAGCAATTTGACGAGATTGTTGAAGACGTCTATTTCGTTTCCCATCTGATGCACTTCCAGAGTACCAGTGGTATCTACTTCTTTTAATACATGACAATACTTACCTATCTGCTCCTTCACATTTGCGTCTAATTCTTCCGATGTGATTAGCTCTTTCTTTCCATTTGGGTCTGTTTTGTATACCCCATTCAGCACGGCATCGATGGCCTGCGCAACTTTGTATTCGCTGGACTCCTCATCGTCCTGCCCCTTCACTTTAATGTCTAGAAATTCCTTCTTAAAATCTGCCGATACGTAGTCGAAACATTTGTCATTTGTGTTTTCATTATGGATTAGCAAATTGCAAGTGTAGCAGCTTTCGATGTCTGTGTTTCCACTCAAGAAACAGGAACTGATATATGCTTGGCACATTTCTATAAAAAAAAAAAAAAAAAAGGTAGAGAAATGAAAGATTAAATTGTTAATCAGGTTTGTTTCTCAGTCTGTGCTTTGTGTAATGATGTTACATATCAGCAATCTCAACGTGAACAAATAGGAATTCCAATTCGACGACACTTCACGTTTGTAGAGTTAGTACGTCTAGGTGAATACGCCTTTGTTAGACCCAAGTTAGGAAACTCACCTGGAATGTCATTCTTTAATGAATAATCCTTGCTCGTATAAACGGTGGTTCCTTCATGGACTATGCCTTGATGGACTTGGATTGAGGTTACAGGTGTTTCCAGTTTCGGCAATCTGTACTTCCTCACGTCAGCTTTATTCTTATCTGCGGGAGGCAAGGGTGGTGTGGAGGTGTTAAACATGGATGTATGGGTTCTGTGTCGCTAGCACTGCGGCACAAATGGATCACTCCGCAGGTGGACGCTGTTGAACAAAAGGGCGAGTTCTAAACCGTTCAACCATCAACGGTGTCGCCGCTGCTGTGGTTGCTATTATTTTTATTTTTTTTTTTCCCGTAATCCTGATACAGATGCTCCCATTTCATCGTCCCTGCTCCACTTACTTTCACCGTCACTTGTAGGATAGACGATCCACTTGAGGGTCAATATGTTGTCCTCGAGGTGGACTATAAACTTAAACGTCTTTTGCGGGCTATTTATAGAGCTATCTCCAGAGCTCTTTTCACACTTGTTAATCAACTCTTCGCCTTCCTTTTTAAATTCTACAGGAAAGTTGTCCGAGTTGGGGAACTTGGTGGACAGTTCTATGGTGTCCGCTGCAGCATTCACAAAAATGTAGATGTGAGGAATGAGGAACAGCCCGACCTCTGTGTCGCAGGGGCCCGTAACCTTCACCCCCTTGAAGTTCTTCAGAAGTGCGGACTGCAGCTGGGCTTTCTGGGGGATGGCTTGAAGTTGAGCCGCAGCATCCTGTCCACTGCTATTTCCTGAGGAACTGCCAGAAACGCTTTCCTGGGAAGTGGGTAGGGTGGGGCTGGTGTTATGGGTTCCATCCCCATGTTGATTTGATGTTTGCCCGTTTTGTGGAGAATCTGATCCTGGAGAATTTTGTGTCCCGGATTCGGACGATCCTGGATTTCCCCCTGCGGTTGCAGAGACACTGGAACTGGATGACGAATGACCGGATCCTTCAGATGACAACGTCTGTCCAGTTGTGCACATCGCTTCATTGTTGCCGTAAAGGGCACCTGTGCAAAGGAATCAAACGGAATTCGCATGCAATGGGGGAGCCACTTCTCGGGGAAAGAAGTGAAGCATTTTTAATTTCAAAAATGGGGTGACCCCCATCAGGAGCATCTCCCCATCAGACATCGCTTCTTCTTCGGCTCCTTCTTCTGCTTCTTCTTCTTGTTTTATTTATTTTTTTTTTTTCTTACCTAAAGCGAGCAACAAGAGGAAACTAGACTTCATCTCGCTTCGGTTAAGTCAAATCTGTATTAAGACTTCCCTTTCGCAAGGTGGAGTGCCTTTACGCAAGAATGGGTACTTTCCTTTGGTTAAATCGTTTACACATTTGTTATGAAAAAGAACAAATTAGTGTTTTGTTTGATTTTTTTGTTTTGTTTTTCTGTTTTATTTTTTTGTTGGTTTTTTTGTTTGGTTTTTTTGTTTGGTTTTTTTGTTTGGTTTTTTTTT